TTTTTCAATTTTAATGTCTTGCAATTTTATCTTTTATATTGTCAATAGTTTTCATAAAATTTATCACTAGATTATATAGATTTTTTTTTTTTAGAGGGTATTATTAAATGTAATTTTTCAAAATGGAGGTCAATTTAAATTTTTGATATAATAGAGGGTTTTGTACCTTTATAAACATGGACTGGCGTCTTTATTTATTTATCAAAACCTGAGGTGGCAGTTTTGTAATTTTAATTATTTAAAACTTGAAAAATGATCGTTTTCCTAATTTTCTAAAAGACATGGAAGTGTGGTGTAATTTGCTATCTTGTATTTGTTAGTAACTAATTTTGTCTCTTAAATATTCTTCTCGAATAATTATATTACCATCACAATTTTTTATTAATTGTATCACTTAATTTTGGTATTTTTACTCAAATTTTTATCGCATTCTTATCCTTAACCTTCAATTAATTTTAAAGATAATTTCTATCTGAATATTTCAATAGTGAGAAGAAAATATTTTGTTGAATATTTGTATTTATTATTTATCTTTCTTATTTAAAAATGCAAGGGACAAATTATTTTTTTTACCATCTCCAAATAAATTATTTTGATACGTGATCAGATAAACTGTGTTAATTAATAGAGGTTGATGATAAAAATACTTAAAAAGATAAAAATTGGGTGACATAAGTGAGCAAACTACAAAAATTAGGGACATCTACTGCAATTAAAGTGTGCTGTAAATATGATTACCATTTTTCTTTCCTTTTTGTTTCAATATCTCTTATTTATAAAAAACAGATCAATCTGTCAATAAAATTCTTATATAGTGTGTTTAGTTACATTTCATCATTTATATGAAAAAGTAAATTATTTAGTAATCAAATTCTCATTTTGCGGTTGTTTGTTCGATTGATGAATTTCAACACGTTTATGTAATGAAAAAGATTAATTTTTTATTTTTATTTTTGTCTCGGTGCTAGTTGCTTGCTTTTTTGTTTTATTTGTGTGTCAATTTTTAAAAATTTATTTTAGCCCTTGTTCGACATCCATTGAAAAAAGAAGTTTTAAATAATAATTTTTTGAAGAATATACGATTAAAAGATAGGAAAATTTTTGAATCTACATGCAAAATATTTTATTGTGTGAATGTATATTGAAAATGAGTTTGAGAAAAAAAGGATTTTGAGTTGGATGTCAAACAGGGCTCCATTACACTAAATCTATATAACATGGTATATTGGTTTATATACAATCATATTTTTCTTCTTTTAAGTCTAATAAGAGTCAATGAAAATTAATGACATTAACATTTACCAGTATTATAAAAAGCATAACGCATGGCGATGCGTGGAGGCCAAGTTATAGGGTGGGCGAGCTTAGACGAAACATAGGAGTAAAAAGCATTTTCTTTATTTTAATATTGTTTTAATTTTTAATCAATCCAAAAATCGTTTAATAATTAAAAATAATACCTATAAAATATCTAAAACAAATTTATAAGAAATTTATACATTTTTTAAAAATTTTTAACAAAAAGATAAGTTCCAAATGTAAATAGTAAATTTACATAAATAGGGATTTTTAGGAGATTTTCTTTGTTCAAGTCTTCAAGCAACTATTTTGAATTTAAAACTGTCGAAATGAAGAAAACAATATTTAAGGATCCGTTTGATTGTAAAGATGAAATTTGGATGAAAAGAAAACGAATTCTAGAGAATTGAACTGCCTAGAAATTATTTTATTAGGAATTGTCAATTACTGTGTTTGATTAATATAATTTTTCATGTGAAAATTTTGAAATAAAAGTGTTTTTGGTGTTCATCTGTCTTTGTTTTACGTGAAAATTATCAATTAAATGGATAGAATTTACTAATATTGGTGATGGAATTTGTTTCCACTGTAAAAAAAAAAAAAAAGAAAATCATCTATTTTTTGTGTTCATTTGGCTTTGTTTTATATGAAAATTGTCAATTAAAAGAAAATATATTTTTTATAATTAGGGATATAATTTGTTTCCATTATAGAAAAAATGCAGCAGTAACCTAGAAAATCACTTCCCACCATATTGGTGGGAATTGATTTTCAAAGAAAACCAAGAAAATGTCTAAGTGGCAAGAAAATCAATAACCTGGAAAGAAATGTTATCAAACAGCCAAAAATTGAAAGTTGGAATTTGAATTACATTTTTCATGAAAAATTATAGTCTATGAAATAGGCCCTAAGTTGTAGTTTAGAAGAATCATAAAAATAAAAATAAAAATAAACACAATTATGCTCACCTAGACGCGCATTAGCGTTCAATGATTGCTGTTGACAGCTAAATAAGGCGCCAAGCCACTTGACTTGGAGTTTTCGCCGTGCATTGTGCATTGGCGACGCTTAGGGAGCAAATGCGTGCCTTTTAGAATAGTGCCATTTGCAGGAATTGAGTGAAGCGCATTGTAGGTTTGAAAATTAAAATAGCTAGCCAATAACTGAAACATTTCCTTCCTTGATTTACTTTCAATTTTGTTACCAAAAAATGACATTGGTTTATCAATTAGTCCATCCACCCCATAAAGATAATTTTTTTCTACATTCACATAGATTAAGAAAATATAATTAATATTGTTGGAATATAAATTTAAATACGATTAGTTTATACTTGTTAATAACGAAATACATTAAATAATAAGGGTTAAATCATTTGTACACAGCCCCTCATATGTTGAGGTGGTCACATGAATTAAAAAATTGTGAATCCCCTCGTTATAAGGGGTTTGTAAGGATGTATAGCTTTTAATGCTGTACAGCAAGTAAAGTCCAAATAACAAAAAGAGACATATTAGAAAAATAAAAAAAATATATATTTTCAATAAGAAAAGTGACCTATTATTTGGACAAACGAAAAAGGAAATCAAATCTATCTTCATGAGACGGATGACTTATTTTAAAAAGATTTTTTTTAATGTAAAATATTTATTATTTAAAACATGAAAAGAATATTTTTGTAATATTTGAAAGCACGAGGGGGTGTAGTGTAATAATCTATCTTGTGTCTGTCATTTTCCTCGTTTGCATCATTAAAACTAGAAAAACACCCGTAGCTAAAATACACAGCAGATAAAACATAAATAAAATTCTTTTATCTCATTTCATGCCTCTCCGTTCTCGTTTCCTTGGCGGCGTAAATGCATCGCCACCGCAAGCACCGCCGTCGAAGGAGTCACCTACACCAACCGAGCCCCTGAAGTCGGACTACATAATCATACTTGCCGTGCTATTCTGTGCAATCATCTGCGTTCTTGGCCTTTCCATCGTGGTCCGCTGCGACTGGATCCGCCGCATCACCAGCGGAGCCGTCGCTGCCCTGCCAAACGCCTCGACGCCTGCCAATAAAGGACTTAAAAAGAAGGTCCTGAAGTCCCTACCGAAGTTAATCTACGGTGAGGATGAGAGAGTCGAGAAGCTCGCTGACTGCGCCATCTGCATGGCGGAGTTCGCCGCCGGAGAAGAGGTCCGTGTGCTTCCACAGTGCCGCCATATCTTCCATGTCGAATGTGTTGACACTTGGCTTCGTTCCCACTCCTCCTGTCCCTCTTGCCGCGAGAATTTGGTCGTCAGCAGGTGTCAGAAATGCAGAAATTTGCCGGCCGCCACCTCTTCCTCCTCCTCCTCCTATGCTGCGACCAACTTTGGAGCTCTGCCTCAGCCAGCCTCCAGACCAATAGACCGTTTTACTATGATTTTCCCTTAACCAAATCGTAATTAGCTTGATTACTCAATACTTCATACATTAGCAGGTTTGATCGAATGGATTAATCCAGCGTTAGCAGAAGAAGAGAAGATCAGTTGCTTTCTTAGTGTATGTAATGTGTATGTGTGTATTCTGTATTGTGGTAGAAAGAAAAAAAACATAAACCAATTACTTTATTTACTTACCCTCTTTTTCTTTTTCTTTTTCTCCATGAACCCTAATTCAATTTTGACGGCGGATCTCTTTTCAAACATTTCTGTTTGATGAGTTCCATTAGATAAAAGTTTAAAGTTTTCATGAAATAAGTAGCCTCCACTTTAATATATAACATGCTTTGTCTGGGATAAAATTTTCACATGGCAAGAAAACTCGTTAGTGAATTTTTTTTTATCCTTGGTCAAGATATCAATTCTACTTAACATAATTTATAAATAGATTTATAAATTTAGAGAGACTTATTATTATTTTTATTGATAAATCATTTACAAATTTGGCGAGGCTAAATAATTCGAATGGAAATGCTCATAATGAACTCTATCGATAGTGTTACAACTACTTTGAATTAGCGTAATTAGCTTAGTTCAAGAGTATGGACATTTAATGGTTATGTAAAATATCGTTGGCGGATGTAATTGGATGGTGTTCTTTTTTTACAATAGTGTTGTAGGAATCGAATTGATCAATTCAATTAGAAAATTTAAAAATCAAACTGCTCCAATTGTGCTATAAAATAATATTTAGATCCTTAAAGTGACCGAAAACTTCTATAACGAAGAGATGCAAAGAAAATGCAAATTTCATTTTTCGACATAATATAAAAATAAAAAATAAAAAAAATTGTAAAGATAAAAACTGAATTTGAATCTTGTTACGGGAGCAAAATTTGAGTTTAAATCCACTGAAATATAAATAAGAATTCAAAACTAAAGATATCAATTAACCCTCAATTTTATATCACCATTAAATATGTTAGTATAAGTCAAAAGTTGTGTGAAATTAAAACCCAGAGTAAATTTACATCATTTGACAGCACGTGTTAACCAAAACCAGTTATTCGAACACGCCAGAAATAAGTGTTTGGGTGCCCACAGTTTAGCTTTTCTTTCCTTTTTTGCAGTTTGTGTACTTTCTCTAACTCTGGGTTTGAGTGTACTTAAAAATATAATATGGATTTCATGAAATAATTGAGGCTCTTATTTTATTTTTTATTTTTTAAAAACAGCTTTTAAACATGATCAAACAAACATTTAGGCCATATTTGACCTACATTATTTCAAAAAATACAATTTTAAATAATGATTTGACATTATTTCAACTATACATTCTTTTATAAAATAATATTACACGCAAATCCAAAACTTTTCTTTATTTTTTAATCACACATTTCACATTAATACACTATTCAAAAATGAATTTTTTTGTAAATAATGTGACTCAAACAAGGGCTTAGTTTTTTGAAGTGATAGAATTATAACGTGTAGGTGTGCGTATCCACATTTGAGCTTATATTAGAGTGTGTTTATTTTTCTTAATAAAAAGAAGGAAAAATCCGGATGGCCATGGTGTTGGTGACCGAACGGTGTCCGACCCCTCACTGTCCCGTGGGCCCTGTGCGAAAAAAATATTGCTAAAAAATTGTGGGCCTGACCCCATGTGAGAGGTCGGGCACCGGCTGTCACTGCCTCTTCTAGTAGTGTAGGTCGGTTCAAGAAAGAAAGGAACAATATAATTTGTTGTCAATTAATGTTCATTAATCAACATGTTTTTTCTCAAATTAAATTGTTTATCTTCAAATATGAATGCCTAGATGGAAGAGTTTTATTGACACGATTTGATTTTTTTAAGAAGATCGTATCATCAAATATAAAAGTGCACAAAGACGACTTGCAAAATGGAATATAATCCAACCAATGGATCGCAATTGAAAAAGTACTCAAGGCTGTAAACGATTTTGTTTCATCACGATGGACAAAACCACAAGCACCATACCCAACATCGTGAAGTAAAGATCAAATGTGAACGCAGTTACAACATTTGACGAAAAAGCCTATGCATAATTAGTCATTGTTTGGTTTGGATTAAAATCAAATTAAAATTTTAAATCAAAGTTGACAATTATTTTTAATCTTACTTTTCATGAGATTTACAGCATTTTAATCACTTAACTTTTATCAAAATCTATTAAAAATATGATTTTATTCTGATATATATATACAAACAGATTTAAGAAAAAAAAAATTATTTTGTAAGAGATCTTTGAATTCATCTTTCTTGTCATTCTAATAAATAATTGTTGTAAATTTACGCTCCCTTTGTCATATATGTAATTGTGCTCTCCATATTTAGGTCCTGTTTGTTTTCCATTAATTTAAGAATGAGAATAAAAAATATAGTTATTACAAATTCTACATAAAGAGATAGAAGTTCAAATATGGTGGTTTGATTGATATGATGGATAACGATCATATTTTTCGTTTTAATGGCCAAATAATGAGAAACAAACAAGGGCTTAACAAATTTTGTGACTTCCGTTTTCTCTCTTCCGTAGCTCTACAAAACTTTAAAAGTTTTAAAGGCGTCCAACAAATTTGTTGAGGCATCTTTAATGTTTTATTTCTAATTTTTGCATTGAATTTATTTTTATTTTTTTTAACCAATAACGATGTTATTAGAAGACGAAAGACTATAGGGATATTTCACGAGTGCAATTTATTTAACTTAATCATACAATCATGACACTTGTTAACTTTCTTTTTTATTCCCAAAACAAAAAGTATAATCAAGATTGTCCATATCGTAATAGACTTTTGTGATGTCCACTCGGGATTAAGAAGGTGGTGGAAAGGTTTTATGTGAAGTTAGCATTCTTTTCATTTCATTAAGAGACCAAATTTGCAAAGAGATAAATAATTTTATATTTTTGGGTTACTTTACAAGAGAAGGTGACAAATAATAATAGTTCGCACCCCACCAACTAGAATTCCCCAAATGTAAAAGAAAAAATGTATTATAATTTCAACATCATCATAAAATATATGCTAATATGATGTGAAGGAGCCTTCCTCAAGAAAACTACCCACTTTTCCTTTTTTCCTAAATTCCCCTAACTCTAAGTTGATATTTTGAGATAATATTTAGCTCCCGTTTGATAGCAATTTTTCACAAAAAAAAAATCAAATTTTTTTACTATTATTTCACTATTTCAGTCATCATTTTTTACTTATTTACTCATAAGTGAGACCAATTTTTCTCTTTAACGGTCAAAAATTTAATTCTTATAATCACTATCGAATAGACCCTTAGTCCAACCTAATGATACAATAATTTATTACACTCAACGGTCTTGGCTCATTGACCAATTGAGAAAAGTTTAGTCCAACTCAATGGTACTCCTATTTTATTATGCCCACCATATTATATTCCTTTGCAATGGGAGCCATCCAACGTAACAAGATCTAAGACCGGAAAAGGGCCACTATAGTCCAATACATTGTTACCACGTGGTCTGATTTTTCAATCATGGGTAGTTAATTAATGGTAAAAAAAACATTAAGAATATTAATTGCATATTTATAATGCCTTCTACAAGTGTTGGCATCCATTCAAATGTAAATAATCTCCATATATTCCCCTTGTTAGTTTGTATTGACCCAAAAATGGTACAAAAATGTTTATAACTTAAGAAATGCATATTTGCTTAATTCTTGATGATTAGTATCACTCGTACCAATGTGTCGATTTAAGACATAAAGGTAAAGATACTAGTTTCAAGTATTGCAATAACTTATCATAAAATATTAATATATAAATTTCTTATGTAAGAATAAAGATTTTAGATGATATAGCCATTCAACAACATGTGTAACCTACAGAGAAGATGATGAAATTAACGAAAGAGACTGCACTGATCATGTGATAAACGTACGTATTATGAAATTAGTGTTAGAGACCTCATTGGTCACTTGGTGATGTGATAAAAGCAGACGTTATGAAATTAATGATAGAGACCACATTGGTCATGTGATTAAAGCAAACGTTATGAAATTAATGGTAGAGACCCACATTGGTCATGTGATAAAAACAGGAGTTACAAATGGCAAACACACCTTCCTTTTAGGTTACAAATTTACTTTTCTTACCTAATAACGTATAAATTTAACGCTTTAACTTTACAAAATAAACATGTTTCTTGGGTGTCTTTTGCTTCCGTTCCTACTTCATATAATAAGGGTGTTGTTACTTCTATTACTTGTGGTAGAAACCTTTTGCGACCATAGATAGTTTTACCAATTCATGTGGTAACTTTGCCTCATGCCAACTCCTTAAGCGTAGTAGTTAAATTAATTTTCATGTTCTACGTATGGAACTTAAAGTCTTGTGCGATCGTATATAGTTTTGTTGATTCACGGGGCAACTTTTTGAGTGCTATGTCAACTCTTTTAGCGTTGTTGCAAAACTATTTTAATTGTTATGCTTAACATAAAACTTTGTTAGTTGTTTTCAGTTACAAACTTAATAATTTTGAGAAGTTTCAAACAAAGTACTTTTGGTGTTATGTAGTGTATTATATAATTAAATTACTTTTTAATATATATTGAAATATTGAATTTTTCTTAAGGCATATGTGATTTTTTTCCCATTATTTTATTTGTTATTATGTTAGGCTCGTAATAAATCCAAGAGAAAAATTTAAAGTACACTGGAAGCGCTTAAATATAGGATCTTGCTACATATACATTAGTGATTTCATAATATTTTTATAATGCAACATGAAACTCGACCATCTGTCAATTTAAAGTACAATCAATTTTTTTTATTCAATTTTTTTCCTCTACATCACATTAAGTAAATCTTTATGTACAATTTTAATGTACAAGTAGCAAAATCCTTAAATATATACAGCTAAAGGCAGGTGAAAGAGCATTATCAAACTTGGGATCTGTAGGTTAGCATATGCGCTCTCTACCTTTAATGCCAAAATGAATTTTTGTTGCTATTGTACATAAATAATTTTATGACAAGCTATAAACTTTGCATAATATGATTTGCTTAATATTTTGGGCACCAAATATTCTGCCCGAGGTAGCCTTCTCAAGGTTTGATTGAGGACGGCCTTGATGGCGACAACCTTTTGATGCTAACATTTTTATGACTTTTGAAATATACTAGTTTTGCATCCGTACAATACACGGGCTATGTCATTTTTTAGATAATAAAGAGAAATTGAATATGAAGAACTAATTTTCTTACCATTCACTAAATCAAGTTACATGATTTATACAAGATGTTTACACATTAGATCCATAATTTATGGCCTAAGATTAAGCCCTACCATATACAAATTGCCTTCTTATAGCTAATGAAATCAATACGAAGATTGTGTTGATTTCTTTCCTTTAACACTCCCCCTCAAGTTGGAATGTATATTGATTACATTCAACTAGCTAAGTAATGCATCAAATTGTGTCGAACTCAATGGCTTAGTGAACAAGTCTGTTGGTTGATCAATGGTTCCGATGTATGCTATTTTAATTACTCCTTTTTGCACTTTTTCACGTACCACATGGCTATCAATCTCTATATGTTTTGTGCGCTCATAAAAAACTGGGTTCGAAGCTATATCTATAGCAGCTTGGTTGTCACAAAATAGTTTGACGGGTTGAGCTTGACACACATTCAAATCTCTCAATATATTTTGCAGCCAAGTTACTTCACAACATGTAGTGGCCATGGAATGATATTCTGCCTCTGTACTTGAACGCGCAATTGTACTTTGTTTCTTTGTCTTCTAAGAGATTGGTGCATGTCCAAGTAGGATACAATACCCAGTCAAGGATCTTCTTGTGTCTTTACAGCGAGCCCAGTCAACATCACAAAAGGCCTTTAGTTCCAATGGTCCTTTGGAAGGTAAAAGAATCCCTTGGCCAGGTGCTTGCTTGATGTACCGCAAGACTTTGTGTACAGCTTCAAGATGAGGTTGTCTAGGCTTATCCATGAATTGGCTTAATATGTGAACGGCGTACACAAGATCTGGTCTTGTAACTGTGAGATATATCAGCCACCCTACAAGTCTTCGATATTGGGATGGATCATGTAATAATTCACCATTCGTCTGTGTTAGTGACAAGTTCTGATCAATGGAGAAGCGTGAGGGTTTAGCACCGAGAAAATCAGTATCTTCAAGAATTTCCAAGGCATATTTCCTCTAACATAATGTAATACCTTGCTTAGACCTTGCAACCTCTATGCCCAAAAAGTATCTCAGTTGTCCCATGTCCTTTAGTTTAAACTGACTTGAAAGAAACTGTTTGGTGTCTGTGATGTCCTCCAAACTATTTCCTGCCAAGATCACATCATCAACATAAACCAGTAATGCTGTGAATCTGTCTGAACGATTTCGGACGAACAATGAATAGTCTGACCAAGATTGATGAAACCCAGCAGATTTGAGGGTTGTTGATAGTTTAAGAAACCACTGCCTTGAGGCTTGCTTTAAACCATAAATGGATTTGTGAAGCTTGCAGACTCGAGTCTCCCCCTTTCGTTCGAAACCAGGTGGAATCTTCATGTATACGTCCTCATAAAGATCCCCATTGAGGAATGTTGTTGACATCAAGTTGGTGCACGTGCCAGTCTTGTAAAGTCGCAAGGCTAAGAAGCACACGCACCGTTGTTAACTTGGCAACCGGTGCAAATGTTTCTCTGTAATCAACTCCCTCAACTTGACTGTACCCCTTAGCAACTAACCGTGCTTTGTAATTGTCAATTGTCCCATCTGGATTCAGTTTGAGCTTGTACACCAATTTGCAACCGATTGGCTGTTTATGAGATTGTAGTGGAACCAAGCTCCAGGTGTTATTTGCTTGGAGGGCTTGAATCTCATTATGCACAGCTTCTGTCCACTGTGGAATTTGGACAGCCTGTGAAAAAGAAGTAGGCTTCTTCTGGGTGGAAATATTAGTGGTGAAAGCTCTATGGTTACATGAAAGTTGATCATAGGAGAAGACTTGGGAAAGAGAGTGAACAGTACCTGTGTCTGGTGGAGTTGATGTAGCGGTTCTCGAAGGGAGGGCTGCCTCAACATGAAAGTCCTACAAAAAGGTTGGGGTCTTGGTAGAATGTGTCGACCTACGTGGTGGCAAAGTTGGTGTTACTATCGTGGGAAAAGAGATAGGTAAGGCAGTTGGTGGTTGTGATGGTGTAGTTGGGTCAATGATGGGATGACTTGATAAATCAGTAGTGGAAGGGAGATCTGGCGGAGTGCTTTCAAACGGTGGGACTCTAGAGTTGGAGGGAGATGAGAATAAGGGTTCAATATCAAATGAGTGTGAGGGTGTTGGGTTTTGGAGGATGGACGCATCAGTTTGAGAAGTCGAATGAGGGTTTGACTGGAATGGAAAAGTGTCTTCAAAGAATACCACATCTCTTGAAACAAAAACTTTGTTTTCCGTTAGATTATAAACTCGGTAACCTTTTTGACCGTGAGGATAACCTAAGAAGACACATTTAGTTGCACACGGATCAAATTTGGTGGGTTTGGAAGGGTGAGTTGATGTGAAACACAAACAACCAAATACTCGTAAATGAGAGTAATTCGGTGGTTTATGGAAAAGCCTTTCAAAGGGTGTTTTTCCTTGAAGAAGTGGTGTGGGAGTTCTATTAATGAAATATGCTGAAGTAAGTATGGCATCTCCCAAAAAACGTTTAGGTAAGTTGGCTTGAAAAAGAATTGCTCGAGCAACATTGAGCAAGTGCCTATGTTTGCGCTCAACTACACCATTTTGTTGTGGTGTGTTGATACAACTAGTTTGATGAACTATCCTTTTTGATGAGTAAAAATGTTTGAGTGTAAACTCGGGGCCATTGTCACCATGTACAATTTTCACTTTCTTATCAAATTGAGTTTCAACCAAATGAATGAAATTGATTAGGTGGTTTTGTGTTTCTGATTTATGTTTCATCAAGTATATCCAAGTGCACCTAGTATAATCATCAACTATGGTCAGGAAATATTTTGCACTAGTAAGCAAAGGTTCATGATAGCCACCCCAAACGTCAACATGTATTAAATTAAAAGAAGACACACTTGAGATAATACGTAAGGGAAAAGACATTCTAGTTTGTTTTGCCAAAGGGCAAATAGGACACTAATTTTCATCACATGATTTATTTGTAGAAAAGGGAAATAACATAGAAACTTTGGTAGAAAGATGACCGAGGCGTTGGTGCCAAAGGTTGGGTGTCTGGCGGTGAACTGAGTTGCATGTTCCTTTCTGTATTGGATTGAGGCAATAGAGTCCCTCCCGTTCAGTTCCCGTCCCAATCATCTCCTCCAATCGTAGGTCCTGTATGAAACAAAAGTGTCTGAGAAAGATAGTGATATAAAATGAATCAAGTGCTAGTTTACTAATAGAGATCAGGTTCAAATAAAAGAATGGCACGCATAGGACGTTGTGTAGAATGAAATGAGGAGTGAAAACTACTTTTCCAATATGGGTGACTTGAGCCGTAGTTCCATCTGGTAATTTGACAAAACGATTATGCACAGGTTTTAAAGAGGTAAGAAGAGAAGGAGCATAAACTATGTGATCACTAGTACCACTGTCCAATATCCAAACATTTTTCTTGCCATTTTGAGTGGTAGAAAAAGCTTTACCTGAGAGTTCATCATAATTTGAAACATTACCGGCATGATTGACTTTGGTTGCCTTATTTTTGTTTAGTAACTCAATAAGCTCCTTGCATTCTTCCTGTGAGAATGGAAAATTGTTTCCATCCAACCTTCTGTCATACATGGAAGCCACATGGTTCCCCCTTGAGTTTCTCTGTTCTTCTTCCATGGCAGCCTTTCTTCTTCTACAATAGTCGTAAGATTGGCCCTTTCCCCCACAAAAGTTACACTTGAGGTGGGCCCTGCAATTCTTAGTTCTGTGATTAGTCATGTTGCACTTCTCACATCTCACTTCGAATTTTCCTGCATCCAAATCACGGCCTCCCTTCTTTACAGTAAAGGCCACCGCCTCTGGTTGAGCAATGATTTTTCCATTCGAAGCCTCTGCCTACTTTTCATGGCGCAATGCCATTGAATAAGACTTGTTCACATTTGGTAGTGGATCTATTGCCACTGCGTTGCTTCGAACTGCATCATAATTGTCATTAAGTCCCATTAAGAACTTCATGGTCTTTTGGTTCTCCATGTACGCCTTGATTTTTGTGGCTGCATCACAGCTACAAGGTGGAACCCCACAAAGTGCATCTCTTTCATCCCAGAGAATTTTAAGTCTGGTGAAGAAGCCCGTGACAAAACCTGTGCCTTGCACACAGCCGTGGATCGCATTTTCTATGTTGAATAGTTGAACTGTGTTTGTATGGGAAAAACGCTCCTGCAATTCGAGCCACATATCACTCGCATTTTTGTAATGAACCACGCTGCCAAAGATTTTCTTTGACATCAATCCCAACAGCCATGTCTTGACCAAAGTGTTGCAGCGGTCCCATTGCTGTTGTTCTTTAATCCTGGTAGTTGGCCTTTGAATGGATCCATCTACGAACCCTTCTTGCTTTTGATTGTCAGTGCCATACTCATGGATTGACTCCATGTTGTATAATTGTCTTCCATCAAGGTTTGTGATACAAGTACTGCACCAGGTTGATCTGAATGATGGAGAAATAAGGGATGGTTGGGATTCTCCCATGGTTCTAGAACTCTTGAAGGTGCAGAAGTCTTGTCATGATCAACAGCTTCTCGTCCCTCGTCGCCTGCCATGGTGTTTCGTGTTTGTGTAGAATTCTAGGTCTCCAAGAACTCTTGCTCTGATACCATAAAGAGAAATTGAATATGAAGAATTAATTTTCTTACCATTCACTAAATCAAGTTACATGATTTATACAAGATGTTTACACATTAGATCCATAATTTATGGCCTAAGATTAAGCCCTACCATATACAAATTGCCTTCTTATATCTAATGAAATCAATACGAAGATTGTGTTGATTTCTTTCCTTTAATAGATAATATTAACGTGTCAAAATATCTATTCATTTCTCTCAGTAAATCTCCAAATTTGATTAATTGTTTAAAATGATAAATGGAAATGTAATCATCATATATGACACACTATACATCATGATATACTATTATTTATCGATAATATCCATGAGTGTACTTGAGAGTTCAAGTTGAAACCAAAAGAGTTCATATTTGTCCAAAATAATCGACACACATAAGATATATGAAAAAAGAGCTACCGAAACTTATATATAATATTTTTTGAATACACATGTTTGATGTACGTTTAACTATTTTCGATATTTATTTAAATCATTCAATATGTCTATGATATAATTTTCGAAATGTGTTTCAAGAGAATATAGAAGATTTTATGCATTTGACTACCGCACAATCATTGATGAATTTTTAAAGTTAGCTTGTTATCGAAATTCTTAATTTTTTAAATGATGTCTCTTTTGACATTTAAAAAAATTTAAAAGTTTATTAGGAAATTTTCTAAATGACGCAAAAAAATTTATTATATTATTTAAAAAATTAATTGATTGAGAGGAATAGTAACAATAAGAAAAAAAATTCCTAAAAATGATCAAATTTCTTTTATATATAAATTTTTTCAGATGTTAAAATAATTAAGATGAAAAATTAGTTGACCTCAATTTTGTGTTTTTATAATTGAAATGTATTTTCTGGAGATAGGATAAATGATCCTTTGATGCATGGATTAAAATTCAAATTTGGAGCTCATAATTTCTATATCAAATATTATTTTAGTTTGAGTGGTTATTTTACATATAAATGACGTATTTGATGATCACTTATTTAATATAATTAAATCGTGTAATTAATTGAATCTTTTTTTTTTGTTTTTCAATATTCAATTAATTTAAAGAATTTTTTTATTTACGTGTAATATTATTTTATCGAAAATTCCGCTATTGAAAATAAAAGAGAGAAAAATAGAAAAAAAAAAAAAAAGATTTTATGGGGCCAAAGACAAGTTGAGCCACATTATAATATTTTGTCACTTAAATATGGTTGAGATTTTTATTTAATCACCCAATTTTGATATATTTGATTTAATCCTTCAAAATTTATATACATCTAAAATATTCAATTTCATCAAATAAATTAATCGACATCTTTTCGATCGAGTATTAAATTTTTTCAATATTGTGTTAAGTTTTACTTTCAAAAGAGTAGAGATTTTGTTAATTTTTTGAGGACAAAATGGGAAATGAAAATACTTCAAAAATGAATAGTAAATGACATATTGGCTCTTTTAAGATAGCAGTGAAATAGAAAAAGCGTGCAAAATAAATCCTTGTTTGATTTAGTTAAAAAAATTGATAGAGTTTTACTTTTAATTCAACATAATTTTAGCCACACATTTTGTGGGACATAACTCTTCACTAGCACATTTTATCAATTTTTATCAAATTTTACTAAATATATAATATTTAACAAAATCAAACAAGGGCTAAATAAATATGGATTTTACCTAATTAATATTCATTAACAATCAAATATGAGATATTTAGTTATTGATAATGAAAGGAGTTTATACTAATCTAATAGATTTGAAATAATAATGCCGTTTTATTTTTAATTTTTGTGTGTGTGTGTGTGTGTGTGGGGTGCGGGGGGGGCGGGGGTTCTCTTGAAGGTGTATACCAATAAAATTTGAAAATGTTAATGGCCTATACCTTTTTAATGGAAATATTTCTCATCATTGTGTTGAGGTCGGATTATCGATATACACGAAGTCCTATGGAGAAGTTATTAAAATTTACAAATTGTGTAAAATTCACAATTTTTATCAACTTTTCAACCATATACTTCAATTTTTTGATTTTTATTTTTTTCAAAACCTGATAAAAATTTTATAAAATATTTTGTCAGATAACCCCGTGATATGTTTATGTGGCATCGAGTATTGCATAATAATGAAATGTAGATAATATAAACATGAAAAAGTGAAGATGTTACGATTGATAATTTGACATGCTACAATATACAAGATAAGGAATAACAATATTTTGAACTCGTTGAGATACCACACATATTGTGCGTAACTAAAGAGACTTATATTCATAAAAATGACAGGGTTTCCGTTAAAAAATAAGAAGAGATGATCAAAATTAACGTGGCGTGTGGTCGAATTAAAAAAATTTTAGTGGGTCTTATGAGCCGGCCTTAAAATGAGAAAGCCCATACTAGAATGATATTGGACAACCATATTAAACAATTAGCCCAGAAGTGCTGAGAATCTTGTTTGAAAATTTCGGATTATCGGACCGGTCATCGGCTCGAAACTACCGGCAATTTGACATTTGACAAATCCCTAACCTAATATTTTCCCCAAACGAGTTCATTTTTATGAGTTAATTGTTTGAATACTCACTGAACTTTAAAGGGCGTCACGTTTCACTCACTGAACTTTACTTTGCACTAAATTACTCACTGAACTTTGGAGTTAATTGTTTGAATACTCACTGAACTTTAAAGGACGTCACGTTTCACTCACTGAATTTTACTTTGCACCCAATTACTCACTGAACTTTGTAAACTTGTACTCCATCACCCATCGGGTTAAAGAGTTAATTGTTTGAATACTTACCGAACTTTACAAGACGTCACATTTCACCCACTCAACTTTACTTTGCACCCAATTACTCACTGAACTTTGTAAATTTGCACTTCATCACTCACCAGGAACCGTTTGTTTTGTTTGCCTATGTAGATGACGGCTTTAACACGTAGCAGTTAAATTAGACAAACATAACAATGAATTGCCAAATCATATATCCAAAAGGACCCAAACATGCCTCACCGTTTTCACTCAAAAATGCCATGCCCAGTAAAGGCGAAAAAGAAGAAACAACAATCGCGATATACTAAAATTCACCTTCGAAGCGGCCTATTTTAAGAGATTAGGGTTCCAATCGCGATTTATGTGTTGAAAACGATGAGGCATGTTTGGGTCCTTTTGGATATATGATTTGGCAATTCATTGTTATGTTTGTCTAATTTAACTGCCACGTGTTAAAGCCGTCATCCACATAGGCAAACAGAACAAACGGTTCCTGATGAGTGATGAAGTGCAAATTTACAAAGTTCAGTGAGTAATTGGGTGCAAAGTAAAGTTCAGTGAGTGAAACGTGACGCCCTTCCAAAGTTCAGTGAGTAATTGGGTGCAAAGTAAAGTTGAGTGGGTGAAATGTGACGTCTTGTAAAGTTCGGTAAGTATTCAAACAATTAACTCTTTAACCCGATGAGTGATGGAGTGCAAGTTTACAAAGTTCAGTGAGTAATTGGGTGCAAAGTAAAGTTCAGTGAGTGAAACGTGACGCCCTTCCAAAGTTCAGTGAATAATTGGGTGCAAAGTAAAGTTCAGTGAGTGAAACGTGACGCCCTTTAAAGTTCAGTGAGTATTTAAACAATTAACTCCATTTTTATTTATACCGAAGTTTTCTTCTAAATTTTGCTAGAATGAAATTTCTGTTACTATCCCACCAATAACAATGACGACTATGGCTTCAATTTGGACGCTACATTTTCATAAGGCGTTTTTCTCGGTATGTCTAATTTCAAGCCCTATTTCAATTCATATTATTGCGTTCATTTGTTTCCCATTTTCTGCCTTTTTTTTTATTTCTGATTTTTATATTTCTAATTTTTTTGAAGTTCCAAGAATCTATTAGTTCTCTTCTTTTGCTAATTTTCAAGGTAATATCTTGCTCTCTTTATGTATCTGGCGACAGGGGCGGACGCATAAATTTTTAGTCAGGGGGTACAATCAAAATTTTGTTATTAATTTTTGAATAATTTATTTTTGACATGAGAAAATGCAAATTTACATTTAAAAAACATTTCTTCATTAATATTTGCTCATAATTTTCTTCCAATTTTGAACAATCATTTTATTAATATTTTGCTTATCATAAGAAAATTCATATTTATGTTTAAAAGATTTATAGTGTATTTAATATGTTTAATCAATTTAAGTGATCGAAAGGAAAAACATATAACAAATATATAATAAATAAATAAAATTCGTTAAATATAAGCAGTTCAGACACATTTTATGTACACAAATAGGATAGGAAAAATGCAAATTTAGATTCTAATTAATGGAAAATTTGATTGAAAAGTGAAAATTTGTAGTGGATGTGGTAATTTGTAGAAAAATTATAAACAAATTTTAAAAATTAAAAGGGTTAAAATTTTGATAAAAGGTGTAAAAGAGAGTAAGAGAAAAAAATTGAATTTATAGTGATTTTGCCCTTGTTTGGTTGGGGTTAAAATCAATTTTTTAGAAAATTTTGATAAAAGTTAAAAAGTTAAAGATTTCATGAAATATTCTATTAAAATTAATTATTGACTTTGATTTAAATTTAAATTTAAATTTAAATATCAAATGATATCAAATAGGACTTATCCACACAAAAAAAAAAAAAAAAAAAAAAAAATTTGACAAAAGGAAAAAAAAAAAAAAAAAAAAGGAAGGAAGGTGGGGGTCACTTGACCCTACAGGACTCCCCTTGGGTCCGCCATTGTCTGGCGATACTATGCAACTGATATGTTCA